GGTCAACAAAACATGGGCATAGTAACAATATTTTTTATACTACATTTATCCGTTTTAAATACACTAACCTCACTGCTTTGTAGGAGGCAAAAATGTAATTAATTCAGAAAATCTTTTCAGGACCCCACCTTGATGTTTCGAGACCCCACTTTGGGTCCCGACCCCAACTTTGGGAAACACTGGAATACAGGATCACAGAATTGAACTGTCCTCAAACAGTAGATGGAAAGTTTTCCTTTGAATGAATGAATAAGAGCACTTAACACATTCCTTCAATAAATCTGTGAAAATAGAGTGAAAAGCATTGATAATGTAAGTATTTTTGTTGGCAGAATACACATCTTGGCTGTATGATGGATTAGCGGTTAACATTGTTGCCTCACAGAAGAGAGGAAGGTCCTGGGTTCTAGTCCCAGGTTGGGGGTCAAACCATGTATGATTAGGCTGCCTTCAGGTCCAGRCCTCACTTAAAATAAATCTGTGATCTCAGTGGGATTTGCCTGGGTCAAGATAAAACAAAATATGTCAAAAGATTCATTATGTTTAAAGTTGTTGAAGACGTGGAAAGTCTTAAATAATTTGTCTTGTATGCCAGATGGAGGTGATGAACAAATGAATGAAAGCCAGAGTAACCTTCATTCCTCTTTAATCAAGAAGTCCAGATAAATAAAACGTCAATATTCAAAGTTTCAAGTTATATAAAAAAAAAGGAAACAGAGGAGTGGTGGTACTGTATTAATAAATTAAACAAAATAAAAATAGGCCCCTTATTCTTAATCCCACCATGTGTTTTTATCAGCAAGTTTCCTGAAAACATAAGCAAAGAGCAGGAARCATTAAAGGCTTTTGTGATAATAAACGAGGCTGCATTATGTTCTTTTAAATGTGAGGTGACGCTCGTGCGACAAGTTTGACAAACAAATCGAAACAAATCACAGGAACGGATTCCATATGAGCAATCCTGAGTATTTCCTGTTCATGTGGCGTAATGAAGCACTTTGAGAGATCAAAGCTCAAAATAAATTACAAACTCAAGAAAAACGTCTGTTTCACATTTATGTATTGCCTTTTGTAACAATTCTCTTTTAAAAAAAAAGCTTTTAACTCTATTGTCCTACTTAGATCAAACAGTGTATTTTTTAACAAAACAGATATAACAGACTTTAAACAGAAGAAAAATATACATCACTATTCAGTTTGCTACTTTGTGTTTCATTGCGTAGGAATTAAACAACTTTTCTGATCATCTTTGCTATATATGTTAGAAACTTCAGTATATGATCAGTGAGWTATCCCATTAAATATGAAGCATTATTTTGACACCAAAAGTTATTCATATTATGTTTTTATAGTGGAACTATRGGTGTGTATCTGAGCTAAGACTCACTTTATGTATTTCTTTCTATTTAAAGCAACATTTATACATAAGAGTGTTGTTTTAAAACATTTCCATCAGAGGGAGACACAGGATATGTTTTATGTCTGGCACAAATCTATAAAGCCATTTAACTCACAGAAAAAGAAGCTAACAAAAATATCTTKAAGGCACTTAATAATGCAATTTTGCAGTAAAGTACACAACATAAACAAACCAGATCAAAACGACTTCAGCAATGAAAGACGCATGATTTTTCGTCTCAATCTAGTGAAAAAAATAAAAAATTCAAGCAAATGTTGCCATTCATTCATAAAGTGCATTAAACGACCCTTTTCCAGGCCGAGTGTGAGATTTAAATTTTATAGCTCAACACACCTTCCTTGTGTGATTTAAGCAGAAAATATGGCTTGTGTGGGCGGTTCGTTTGCCAAGAACAGTCGTGATGTAAAGCCGTAGAGTCTGACATGTTTAACAGTGATGTACTGATCCAACTTTGTCCTGGAAATGTGAACTCTACGTTGTCTTTAATGCCCATGATTGCATAAAACCAGAGAAGGGATCATAAAAGGCAATCTTACCCCCAGATAAGCGGCTTCTTGGTCTCTCGTGTAAAATGGCACTGCTATAACCTAACAGGGGGGTTCACTCTGCTTTTCTTCCTCTAAGGTTTAGTTTTTGAAAAATGACTGAAATAGTCCTTTAAGATGTCAAACCCCACAGCTCAGACAAACCCTCCTTCAAAACAAAAKGACATTTTGGCCATTTTGAGGTAGGTTTCTGTGTTATGAACAATTAATATCTTTTAGTTTTTTAATAACCTCAGTTTGAAGAAACGGCTCCATCCTGACCAGCTTGACGAGCTAACGGCTAGTCTGAATGCAGCGAAGGCCAAAGAGGATTGCTGCCGTCTTAAAACGACTTCTGTAAAATTCCACAGCGGTGCTTCCAAACGCCTTTTCCAGACCTCAGTTTCTCATTTTCAATTCTACAACACGAGCACAAATAGCAGCTGCTGTAGTGAACTAGAGCACTGTCAGTACAGCCTGTATAACAACATATTAACAATGTAATGCAGAGTGGATGGTATTGTAAATATCTTAACATGTGCATGATCCACTGTAAGTTTTTGATAATTAAAGTWAGCTTATAAAATGTAAACCCCACTTTGGKTGTGGTTTYTCTTASACAAGCTTTTTATCAGCTTTCAGTTGTAAGAATTAAACTATTTGTTCAAACTGGAACTATCTACAACATATATAATAGTAATGGTTCATAACATTTCCACACTTCAGAACGGACCAAACATCCTTCTAGCAGGCCTCTGGTGTGTTTTTACACCCACCTCTGGTAGAAGCCTGGAGGTGGCGGAGAAATAAAATGATGTGTCGTCAAACTGAGTTCCTGCTTTTCTTGGTTCTGGTCTGGTACAGTACGCTGCAGATAGTTACACTTACAGGAATTTTTTTTTTTACCATCAAACACGCTTGGCACTAAAAATAATAGAAAAACAAGAGGGAATGTTGGCTTCTTGATGAACGACAGAGAAAACAAGTGAAAGGTTCGTCCAACAACAGTCAAATGCAGAACAAAGCTCCTGCAGACGAGCTGTCCMAATTCTTCTGACACACCAACCTGCTGATCCTGAGTGAGATTTAATTTATTGAGATGTATTCAGATGGGGTTAGAAGTCTCTGGTTGGAGGGTCTCTTCTTTCAAGGCAACAAATATCTCAGAAGTCGACGGTTCACATTGTGTAGATTGTCATTTCTTAAAACCTTCAAGTTCATCAGTGGTTTGTTTTTCTTCCGTTTCCCGTTTTTTTTTTGGTCGACAAATCAAACCATGTGATGGCAGATTCAAACTGATAACAGCAACAAAATGCTTAAAAGCAAAACAAATAAACAAACAAAAAAAGGTCCAGCCTGAGGTTTCCAGGTTTCGTTTTAAAGTGTTTTGCCAGATAAAATCATGATTCACTGAGAGGTGAAGCAGTGCTTTTTTTAAAGTATAAAACTCATTTCCACTCAGTTTGTTGCTGCATCAGATCAAATTCACATGTATGAAATATTTCTAATCCCAAACACTGATTAGCAATGTCGTTGGGAGAAAAAGTTTTATGTGAAAAAGGAAAAAAAAAAATCTACGTAGAGTGGAGTATTTTGGGGAGAAGAGAAGCCGGAGGCTGGAACGGGATTCATTGTTAGTGTTCTGATTTGTTGTGGTACAAATGAGTGACCTGGATGACCGGAGGAGAGGAGCTGAGCGACGGCCTGCACCAACAAGCAGAGGACTGAACCGGCTGGACCTCACAGCTGCCTCTGCAGAGACAGACACACAAAACAAAACACAGCCTTTAATTAGAGCCAACTGGAAATAAAATAGGAATAAAAGAGATGTAAATCATAAAACACATGACCAAAAAAAGACAGAAGAGAAACTCAAAGTGGAATCTCTGAACCATCAACATGAAAAGACCAAAATACAAAGGGAGTAGGGATGTAAAGATACATGCATTTGGACTGAACCTTCAGAGAACATGTTAGCTGCAGGCGATCACCACTTTCATCTAAAACAGAGGTGCCCAATCCTGCTAACCCTGCATGTTTTACTTGTTCCAAAACACCTGATTCAGTGATTGAATCAGGGCTGGGTAATATGGCTGAAAATCTACCATGATATACAGGGGTTGGACAGTAGCTATGTTTACATGTGCAAAATTCTTTGATCGGATTGAAATGTATTCAGATTAAATAATCGGAATGTGTCGTTTACATGGGCACAATCCGATCATGACCAGGGACATGCGCAGTTGCTAAATTTCCCTTAAAAAAACAGAAAAAAGTTCTACTTCCGTCATGAACATAAACACCTTCTGAGCTCAGAATGGACCTGCGACAGGTTTTAATAATGGTGGAGACGTTACTGCACTCCCTGGTTCAGCTGCAGGTGACGCATGGACTTTTTTTTTATTTATTTATTGCGAAGTGGTGCAGGCTGTGTGTCTTCCTTCTTTATTGAATGAAAAAACGGGAGGAAAAGTTCTGTGCTGCTGGAAAACGCTGGATGAAAGTCAGCAGACATGCGCAGTCAGGTCAGTTTTCCACGATAAGAATAAGATGATCAGATTAGGTGTTACATGCACGTCGTTCGGATTATCAGTCGGCATAAACCACCTCTCTCATTCCGATTACAAATTCATTCAGATCGAGCTGAATCGGGTCAGAATAATCCAAATGGGGTGTTTACATGACACATTTTTATTCTGAATGGCCGTTTAATCCGATTACTTATGTCCATTTAAACGTAGCTAGCGAAACTGAAACAGCTATCATTTTAATGTGGGAGGTTTCATGGCTAAATTGGACCAGCCTAGTGCCCAATCTTCATTAATTGCACATTGCACCAGTAAGAGCAGAGTGTGAAGGTTCAATTAGCAGGGTGAGAGCTCAGTTTTGCTCAAAATATTGCAATGCACACAACATTATGGGTGACATACCAGAGTTCAATAGAGGACAAATTGTTGGGGCACATCTTGCTGAAACAACTGTGACCAAGACAGTAAATCTTTGTGATGTATCAAGAGCCACAGTATCCAGGGTAATGTCAGCATACCACCAAGAAGGATGAACCACATCCAACAGGATTAACTGTGGACGCAAGAGGAAGCTGTCTGAAAGGGATGTTCAGGTCCTAACCCAGATTGTATCCAAAAACATAAAACCATGGCTGCCCAAATCATGGCAGAATTAAATGTGCACCTCAGCTCTCCTGTTTCCACCAGAACTGTCCGTCAGGAGCTTCACAGGGTCAATATACATGGCTGGGCTACTATAGCCAAACCTTTGGTCACTCGTGCTAAACGTCGGTTTCAATGGTGCAAGGAGCGCAAATCTTKGGCTGTGGACAATGTGAAACATGTATTGTTCTCTGATGAGTCCACCTTTATTGCTTTCCCCACATCCAGGAGGGTTACGGTGTGGAGAAGCCCCAAAGAAGCATACCACCCAGACTGTTGCATGCCCAGAGTGAAGTATGGGGGTGGATCAGTGATGGTTTGGACTGCTATATCATGGCATTCCCTTGGCCCAATACCTGTGCTAGATGGGYGCATCACTGCCAAGGACTACCAAACTATTCTGGAGGACCATGTGCATCCAATGTTTCAAACGTATCCTGAAGGCGGTGCCGTGTACCAGGATGACAATGCACCAATACACACAGCAAGACTGGTGAAAGATTGGTTTGATGAACATGAAAGTAAAGTTGAACACCTCCCCTGGCTCTGCACAGTCACCAGATCTAAACATTATTGAGCCACTTTGGGGTGTTTTGGAGGAGTGAGTCAGGAAACGTTTTCCTCCACCAGCATCACGTGACCTGGCCACTATCCTTCAAGAAGAATGGCTTAAAATCCCTCTGACCACTGTGCAGGTATTGTATATGTCATTTCCAAGACGAACTGATGCTGCATTGGCCGCACAAGGAGGCCCTACACCGTATTAATAAATTATTGTGGTCTAAAACCAGGTGTTTCAGTTTCATTGTCCAACCCCAGTAAGTGTTTCATATCAGCTGATATAGTTAATTATTATTTTACCTATTTGAAATAAGGACTAGGAGAAAAAATGCTAATTAATCCAAACAAACGACGTGACTTTTTCTCTTTTATCCACAATTTCCTCTCGAGCACTTGCACCTATTTTCTCCTTTCACTTCACATTTATTTTTTTAAAATTATTGCCCAACCCTAACTCAATCACCTCTTCAAGATCTGCATAAGCCTGTTGATCGCCCGTTCGTTCAAATTCTATGTGTTGGAGCAGAGAAACAAGTAAAACATGCAGGACAGTGGCCCTAGAGGACCAGAACTGGACACCAGTGATCTAGAAGGAACAATTTGTTTGATTACTTTGTTAACAGCCACAACAGGAAAGGAGTAGAGGAAGACTTAAAGAAGTCTCCATCAAAGAAAAGTCAGTATGGTGAGTTCAGTTCCAAAGTCTGTTTGTTTTAAATCAGTTGCATGGAAATGTTGAAGGTCTATGATTTACAGTAACAGAGGAGATTGATCTATGGAAAGCTAAAAGGGTCAAACTTTGTCTCTGGGCTCTAATGAACAGTTAATATGTAAATTAGAACCACTTGTATGAACAGCACTCTAACTGAGAAACTAGGTGTGAGTGTTTAACCTCAAATTTGGAGATGTTCCGTGTTGCCTCTTAATTGACATCAAGTTTAGGCTAAATTACCTTAATTTTCTGAACCAAGTTTACTGTCCACATTGAATGATCAAGGTAGTACAATATCCCTTTTTCTGTTACAGTGAATTTACAAGTTGATGCATCCTACTTTGCTTTATGTACTTGCTATCTAAAAGACATAAAAAGAGTTTAGCTTTTTCACCTCATTCTTGAGCAAAACCCTTCTTCAAAACTAAGATACATACTGAACCGTGACTTCWGTGTATCTTTACTCCCCTGCTAGAAGATAATAATGCCACAACACCAACAAGCCAGAGAGATGCAGCTCGATTCAAAAGTTTGGACAAACTTACTTTTTAAATAAAAAGTTAAGCCCAAACTTTTGATTGATCCTATAAAGGAAGGCAGGTTTTCTCTTTGACTTCCAGTGATTTACTGCTGCATGAGTCATGAGGCAGAAGGTCATTAGGATGCTTTAAAACGAGTCAACAATCAGAAATTTAACATGTAAACACAAATGTACTTCATACTGAGTAGCTGAGATGCAGTGGTGGGCACAGTTTTCTATTGGTTTAATTTGGAGGGGGGTTGGATCATCTGTGACAAATCAGCCAATCCAACCCAGAGTTACAGCTCTCGAACTTGTCATAATTCCAGTTTATCTCTTTCAGAATAAAATGCAAAATGCTGCCGCACATCTTTTAACTGGCACAAAAAAGCATAAGCACATTTCCCATTTTAGCCTCACTGCACTGGCTGCCTGTTCAGTTTAGGATTCATTTTAAAGTTATTGTGTGAATGCCATTAGGCATTCACACTATTGTTTTTGTTTTTCTCTTTATTATTGTGTGAATGCCATTAGGCATTCACACTATTGTTTTTGTTTTTCTCTTTATTATTGTGTGAATGCCATATGCCATTCACACTATTGTTTTTGTTTTTCTCTTTATTATTGGGTGAATGCCTTTAGGCATTCACACTATTGTTTTTGTTTTTCTCTTTATTATTGGGTGAATGCCTTTAGGCATTCAACCTATTGTTTTCGTTTTTCTCTATATTGTACGT